CTGTCCATTTTATGAACTTTGAGATATTCTATATAAGTTTTTTTAGTGCATCGAATATTGTTTAAATTGATGTGTATTTGTGAGATTATATATAGAGAGAGAAATATATATATGAATATTTTTAGAAAGTGGACTATAGGCCTCTATATTAGTTCTCGATCTAGGCCTAGAAAAACTCAGGACCGGCCCTGATTGTATTGACCCTCGGGGGTATTTAAGGTACACAGGGGAGAGACTTAGAGTACAAATCAAGTTGTACTGGGCGTAATCCTATTCTTTTTCTATAATTTATATACATATTCAATTATCTATAACCGTACATATCTTTATTTCCAACACAAACTTCACAGGGAAAATATGTTCACGGTTGCTGGATGCCTGGATTCATATATATTGCTCTCTCTTGAGTTGCATGCCAAGATTTCAGTTTGGCGTCCCCCTTGAACATGGCCAAATCCCTAAACGGAGGATATAATGACGATGGCACAAGGGAATGGCATTCCCAGGTCTCGGCCTCGACATATCCAGGAATGCCTTATGTACGTACTTTTTTTTGAGAGTGGAAAGCCTTATGTCCTACCGAATGATGAGAAATGTTGATGGGCCTGGGCCTTTACCTGCCGGCCCATAAGAGAACAGCAGGCTTGGAGACCTGGAGTTGCAGTTGTGAATACTATATATTTTCATGACTTATGTGCGATGACTGTTTTTTTTTTTTTTTTTTTTGAGAACCATGTGCGATGACTGATGAGTCCCTGTCCGTGAGACCGAGATTTTGACCCAAAAAGCAAAGAGACCAGCCGCACAAGATATCTCGTTCAGCGTTGGCGGCGAGAGTGGGCCCTGATCGCAGGTCTGTTGATTCTTCGGATGCCGCCGTGCGGCCGAAAGCAACCCCTTGACCCCCTCCCTCCTCCCATCAATTTCCCCCATCGTGTATTATGTGATTGTGAGATAATGCTCCCAGCCAACGAGGCGCGCGACTCCATCGCAACTTCGCAGGCAAGCAGACACAAAGTCAACGGCGTTGCCGCGTGGCTGGCTGGCTCTCTCTCCCTCTCTGCCTGCCCTGCCCTGCCCTCCACAGGAAGCAACAAAACATGACGTGCCTCTCTGATTTTGTTTGATTAGTCAATCATTCTCAAGCAGGCTGCTACACCCAGACCGACGGGGGATTAGAGAATGAGACGGAGAGAATTCCTTATTTGACACTGAAGAAATGACCCGTTCTTTTCTTGGCCCTCGAAAAATTTTCGTTTTCTATTTGACACCGAGTTCAACTTTCGTTCCTTCCGTGACACTCTGTCGCGTTTTTCATCCGGCCACCCGAATAGGCTGCTACTTGTGAAAAGACGATTTTGCCTCTGGGGCCCCACCACCCTTCTCTCTCCTCTCTCCAGCCGCCGTGTCCTCCCCGATCCATGGCACGCGCCACTGAGGAGAAGGCCACCGCCGTCCCCCGCCACCCATGGGCCCACCGAGCCCATCCACGGCGGCCGTCGGCCGACGCCACCTGATCTGCCGCCGGGTGCATCCTCCACCGTCGAGCCGAATCCGGCTTCCCCACCATCAATCCAGCCACTGCCGCTTGCCAGTGTTCGCCCTCGATGTCTTGCAGCCGTGAAGCTTGCCAGATCCGTGGGTGGATCCGCGCGCCCCGAGGTCAGATCCGCGAGCCCCGAGGCCAGATCTCGCCGGATTCCACCGTCGTCGTCGCGGCCTTTGCTCCACCGCCTTGAGCTGTCGCCGCCGCTTCTAGTCCACCGCCGGTCGCCCGAGGCTAGATCCACACGCCCCGAGGCCGGATCCATGAGCCCCGAGGCTGGATCTGCTGGATCCGCGCGCCCCGAGGCCGGATCCGCGTGCCCCGAGGCCAGATCCGCGAGCCCCAAGGCCGGATCTCGCCGGACTCCACCGTCGTCGTCGCGGCCGCCTGCTCCACCACGCCACCGTCGTCGCCGCTTCTAGTCTACCGCCGGTCGCCATCGAGGAGAGGGAGGAGCGCGGAAGGGAGGGGCGCCACCGCGCCTAGGGAAGGGAGGAGCGCCGCTGCGCCATGGGAAGGGAGGACCACCGCTGTGCTCGGGAGGGAGAGGGGCTCGGAATGAAGAGTTGGAGGGAGGGAGGGGGGAGGGAGAGAGAGTGGAGAGAGGGAGAGAGTGGAGGGCGCCATCGGGAGGGACGGGCGTGTCTGCGCGACTGCGGGGAGACGGAGGGAGCGAGGCGAATGCCTGGAGGAGGAGAGGAGAAGGGTGGTGGGGCCCACAGGGGCAAAATCGCCTTTTCACAGCGCAATTAACGGTGGCCGGATGGAAAACGCGACGGAATGTCACGGAATGAACGAAAGTTAAACTCGATGTCAAATAGGGAACGAAAAATTTTCGAGAGCCAAAAAAAAAAAAGAACGGGTCATTTCTTCGGTGTCTAAGGAATTCTCTCCATGAGATGCGGGTGACGGGTGTCCGCGCAGCTTCTGCTATGTGTTCTGTGCGGCGTTATCCAGACCGAAGCTTTGCCGCGGGTTAGCGACGGGAGCAGGGAATCTCTTGGGTGGCTGGGCATGCGTTTAGTTAGCCCCAGCCTGTCCGTCCGCCCTACCAACGCGGTCACGCAATCATCGATCAACAAACCATACGTAATGGCACCATAAATTTACCATGCCTAATCGACAATAACAAACTATACGCCAAGCATGAAAGTACTACAAAAAATTATGGTCCGGCTGTAAACACACAAGAAACATACGTACTCCTATATCACAGTGAGTACTTACATTATATATCCCATGAAATATGTTACAGCCCACTAATGTAAGATCATCAGACTTTTTTAGAAAGAAGGTTTCCCCCGGTTTAATATTTCATAAAACATAACAATTGAAGTACTGTGTTTAGGCATGCCCGCCTCACAAAACAAAGCCTTAAAACAACCTTAGATAAGTAGCTTCACTCAACGTCACATGACTGCAATCAACAACCACAGCTTCATACCGAGCCAAAACCGCAACGCTAGAGTCCAAACGCCGAACAACCAATGACGACCTCAACCTTGATGACGACTCCGTCTAAATGTTCCACATGATTCGCGACGGCAATGTGGCTTCTACCTCTAGCCGATTGGCGAAATCCTCCACTTGCACTCCCATTTCCTGCTGGAACATGGGGATCCATCTTCGAACCGTTTTGACAACCTGATCATCAGACTTCGTATCAGTGCCGGTCCTAAGATGTCGAGGGCCCTCTGACGAACTCGTCGTGACGGCCCCTCCCGACAAATGTTTCTTAGGTAACATTTTAAAATTCTAACACCTGACCTAAATTACAAGAAAAATATGACTATATGAGTACAAAGTACTAGACAAAAATTGAACAAGAAAAAAAAACCTAGGGTCTAGACAATATGGACATGAACTTATTCAGAACCAAGATTCATAAATCACAAAAAGGGTAGAAGGTAATAACCAAAGATCAGATGTCGTCGTCTTCGTCGAGCCCTGCCTCAGCTGCCTGGTCACCGCCGTCGTCTGGCTTCTAGAAGACCGGAACTCGAGCGTCGGTGTCTCGGTGATCTACGCTGGTGATCGCGTGGTGAACTGGTGATCGGCGCTGCGTCTCTCGCGGTCTTGCGTCTCGCCGTCTCGCCAGAAGTCCGGAAGTCGCGACTCGCGATTGCTATGTGCGCGTGTGCGGGTGTTGGCGGCTCGGCTCCTTGCCTCCTGGAAAGAAAGAGGCCGACGACTCCTTTTGCTGATGGGCCGCTGTATCTTCTCATTAATTCTAATGGACTATAGCTAAAGGGTATGGAGTATTATATACTTCGGCTTAGGCCCCCATCCCGCGAGGGCCCTCGGCCGTCGCACCTCCTGCCCCACCCTTAGGGCCGGCACTGCTTCGTATGAACCCATCAAATGTGTTAGACAACTATTACATACTTTGAACTTTTTGTGTTTGATACGGTCATTATTTTTTTCCGAGACAAAATAAGTGACATTTCGAGATTGTCTTAAGCCCATCCATCAACCTGTTGTTGTATATTAATTTGAATTTCTGTATTTGAAAATGTTCCAACTAGATTTGTGTCAAAACGTGCTGTTAAAGAAAAATATGCTTTTACTATGTTTTATAAATATCAAGGAAATGTACATATCAAGTTGTGTTTTTAAACTATTTGTGAGCGAAGAGATTATCTGGGTTGCACTCATTTGTCGGAGTTGCTGTCGTTGCGAGCGTGAGAGAGCAGTAGTGGATGGAAAGCAACGGTCCGAGCGCAGTTGCAGCGTTGCAAATAATGGCAATTGAACATGCCATACCTTTCCTTGGTCTAAAAAAAACTCATATTTCTATGAATTAAAGGCATGAAGATGGTTGATGTGTCAATCTTTCTTTTTCCAAGCAAACCTTTGGATAAAAATCCTCAGGAACTCCTGAATTTGAAGGGCTGTGGTTAAACCATGATCCAGGCCTCCACGGTAAGTTCTAGTAGATGACAAGAAACAAGAGACAAATCCCGCAAATCCCTGGACCAAATGGTGACGCAAGTACTAACGGCCAGCCGTCAACGGATAATAAACCCAAACCGGCAAGACCTCATCATCTGCAGTCGTCTACCTTTTACAATTCTTTCCATCCCGACAAGGCAACAACCCAAGTACCCAACAGAGCCTTCTCGCTGCCACGCGGGTCCCGGACCCGCACGTCATCCACGCGCGTCGCCGACTCAGAAGTCGATAAGCCCACGGCGGGCCTCCTCGCCCTTGCTTTCTCTGCTTTCCTTCCTCCGGTTCCGGTTCCGGTTCCTAGCCCACCTGCCCTGCCCCTCGTTTTATCTCCCCGTTCTCCGTTCCTCTTCGCGTGCGCATTGACGACGAATTTCTAGAGCGCCGTACCGCGCACGACTCCCGAGCCCCACCGCGAAGCGCCCGAATCGAGAGGCATCCAGCCAGCCTTGCGCCCTTGCCTTGCCTTGCTCCGCGGCGAGAGGCGGCTGAGGAGGGGTGGGTGATGTACCCGGTGGTGACGGGCACGCCGCCGGCGCGGCTGCCGGCGGCGTCGCGGGTGGACAAGGCCACGAGCCACCTGCTGCAGGGGCCCGACTGGGCCGTCAACCTCGAAATCTGCGACACCCTCAACGCCGACCGCTGGTGAGCCATCGCCATCCTCTCTCTCCCTCGCTTGCTATCCTGATGTCCTTCTCGCTCGTGGGGTCCGCGCGTCGGCGTGGTTGTCAAGTTGCTTGCTTTGTGTGGGGAATTTCGAAGCGTGGTTGGGGTTCTGCCTGTGCGGGCACTAACGGCGGCGCGGCTTTGCAAATTCCGTTGCCCCGCGGTTCGCACTGCTCGTGGAGCTCCTCTGGTTGGGGTTTTGGTTTGGGGCCGTTGACCCGATCGCTTCAGCGAGTCTTTGGTTAAAAAAAATTTGGGGCGATTTGAGGATTGGCTAGAGACTAGTAGTTAACATGATTTCTGGGAAGTAACCAGTCTGTGGCTCTCGGTTGCTTTCTTTTTGTTGCTATATGCACCAAGCAGAGAACTTTGCATGCCAACTTTATTATCATTGGGTGGCAACTGGCAAGTGGCATATATATTGAGCAAAGCTTAACTGCTGCTTGAGCTTAGGTGGAGTCCTGTATGCGTCCACCGAATTTATCTATCAATCATCACGGACCTTGTACCGCAAATTGTGTAGAGCTTGGGGTCTCATCATGATGTGTTACTGTTTTAGTGGCAAGTTCAAGACCTTGCTTTCCTTTACAGCAAATGGGAAAGATGAAGCCTGGTGGTAGTTTTGATTAGTGGTCAAGAAATATGATGGCTTTTACGGTTTTACTCAATGATGATGCCACCCTTGGGAACCTCAACTCTTGTTTTGGTACCTTAGCAGTTGACAACAGTGCTCTTTGTAACTTTCAGTTCCAACTTCATTGTAGTTGTTGTTCAGGGTAACAGGGGGTATTGGTTAGTTATCATTTTGTAATCAGGCATTTATTTACAATCATATTGCGTGGGTTTGCATTTTTGTACATGATTTATTTTTTATTATAGGTTTTTAATAGAAGCCTACAAAATCCAAACAAGCTAAACTATTCTGTTTAGACGTCACAGTCTGGATACATACACAGAATCACTTTGCACTTCTTATTTTCCTGGCTGAGAACTCATATATTATCACTCTGAATCAGGCAAACAAAGGATGTGGTAAAGGCTGTGAAGAAGCGATTGCAGCATAAGGACCCAAAAGTTCAATTCTTTACTTTGACGGTGCGCACTATAATCAGTCTCATGATAAATAATGTTTCTGTAATATTTGGTGTGGGATTAGAAATATATTTTCTGTGCATGAAATATTTTTAACTGTTCATACCACCTGTTGAATTTCTGCAGTTATTGGAGACAATGATGAAGAACTGTGGTGAATATGTTCATTTTGAAGTTGTTGATCAGCATGTTTTACAAGAGATGGTTAAAATTGTCCAGAAGAGGGTATTTCCATCATCCTCTCTCCTATTATCACTATTATTATGTCGCAAAGAGAAACAAGAATAGTTGAATGTTGAAGGATGTTTGTCATTTTTAAAAAGTTTCACCAAATTAGCTAAACTATTTCGAGTGGTATGGTATATGCATAAACATTTTTCATATGTATTTTGAACTTTATGAGATATAACCATTGGAAAAAAAAAAAATAATCGTGTAGGCAAGTTTTAACTATGTTTGGTCAGGTCTTTTTTGGGGGTGGGGGGGGGGGGGGGTGTACCATCCTCTTTGGTTTAATAGTTTCACAAAATTCATTTCAGGTTGTAAGCATATGCTTGCATTTTATTTTGTACTCTAAATAATTATCAGATTTCAAATTGGCCTCAAAGGCTAACCATTGCCTGCTTCTGTGTTTGCTAATGATAGAATAATGAACAGCAGAGCTGCTAAAGTTGCAATATCCTATTGTTATTTGGTTGATCAGTCTTTACAGCACGAAAATTGGTCTGCCCATCTTAAGTCATCTTTTCCTCACTTTTTTATGGGTTCAGTATGGGTATCTATTTCCTTTTCACTAGAAACTTATTCATGTTAATTTGTAAAGGGCAGCCCCAGTGCATGTAGCTCCCGCTTGCGCAGGGTCAGGGGAAGGGTCCGACCACTTGGGTCTTTTGTACGCAGCCTTTCCCTGCATTTCTGCAAGAGGCTGTTTCCAGGACTTGAAACCGTGACCTCATGGTCATAAGGCAGCAGCTTTACCACTGCGCCAAGGCTCCCCTTCATTCATGTTAATTTGTGTTTTAGGCAAAACCGTAATTCTTCTTTCAAGTAACCTTCTGAGTTCTGACTGGTACTATGTGAACTGCTAGAGGTTGCATTTTGTGTTTCTACAGATCATAAGATTGATGCTAAGCCTCTTGTACTTTGTGGATCTGTTGTAGCCTTGTATTTACTATTCATTTACATTTTCTTTTCTCTTAAACAATGGAGAAACATGATGCTATATTTCTGCTTATGTCTTTTTTTATAAAATATTTCAGCACGATATGCAAGTGAGGGATAAGGCATTGTTACTTCTGGATTCATGGCAAGAGGCATTTGGTGGGCCTGGTGGCAAATATCCTCAGTACTACTGGTCATACATTGAACTAAAGGTATGCATCCAATCCCAATTCGGTCTCGTGTGCAGATAGTTTCTACGTCATGGAGATGGAGTATTCTTCTCCTAAATTAATTTGGAGTTAAAACATGCCTTGGAAGAAATATTCAAAGCCACAAGTGCACTAGTGATAGATAATTCCCACATTTTAATGAATTATTATTTTACTAGCCCTTATTGTATGTTCTTGTGGCAAAATGTTTTACAGAGGGCAGGAGTAATGTTCCCACGACGTCCTGTAGATGCTCCTCCAATATTTACTCCTCCTGCAACACATCAGGTGTATGGTTCACCTAGATATCCTTCTGGAAGTCTAAATGAGAGAATCACATCTGATGCTGAAACATTGAGGTAAAACTCTTATGAAGCATTGGCTTATTTGACTGTCCCAAGTGTAGACTTTTCTTTTATTACTACTGTTATGGATATAACCCTTTTTTCTATTTTGCTGTTCAGCTTTGAGGGCTTGAATAATATTAGAAATGCAACGGAACTGCTGTGTGATATGGTGAATGCTTTGAACCCTGCTGATCGCATGGCAGTTAAAGATGAAATTATTACAGATCTTGTAAATCAATGTCGTTCAAATCAACAAAAGCTCATGCAGTTTGTCAGTTCCACAGGGTACGCTTATCCCTCTCAGATTATACAAAGCTACATTACCTTGTTCTTAATGTACTGCATAACCTAATTTATGAATAAGCATGGTTTCATCGTTGCAATTTATGATGTCTAATGCTACATGCTGGTGTAGACATTTAGTGTATCAATAAAAACAATATATGAATTTTTTGTGCATCTTGTTGTCAGGGATGAGGAGCTGCTAAAGCAAGGACTAGAATTAAATGATCACTTACAGAGTGTACTCACAAAACATGATGCCATTGCTTCTGGTTCTCCATTACCAGTTGAAACACCAAGTACTGAACTACGCAGAGAGGATCCAAATCCTGAGCCATCTACACCAATTACACATGATAATAAGGCTCAAGTTGAAGAGGATGAAGATGATGAGTTTGCTCAAATAGCACGAAGGTACCTAGTGGCCTGCAAAAGGCTTCAGACAGTCTATACTTACTGTAATTATTTGTTACGGTTTTAACTATTGATCATTTTATATGTATTTGCAGGAAAAACAAATCTGTGATATCCAGTGATGAGGCATCATCCAGTGCTGGTGATCAGGCTCTGGTACCTGTTGATCCAGCACTTTCTGAAGTTTCTGCGGTTGCGAGCAATGCAATAGTACCTCTCGACACATCTTCTGTTAGTGGAACCAGGACGAAGGAGCAGGATATGATTGACCTTCTCAGTCTCACCTTGTACAGTCCTCCTGAATCATCTGCAGATTCTTCAACTCAGAACCAAAATGGGAGTCAGCCGAGTGTCACGTCAAATGGACCAGAAACACTGCCGAGCTATCAGCCTGCTGTGGCAAATGGGGCAAATTACCCTGCCAACAACCAGGCTTATCCAACAAACCAGGGATATGCTCCTTACAATAACTATGTTGCACCATGGGCCCAAACAGGACCGGTTGCACAGCCAGGAGCATATCCAACTCAACCCCAGCAATATGTGACTCAACCCCAGCAATATGTGTCTAGCTATCCGGCACCACCATGGGCTATGCCTGCGAGTGCCAATTCAACTAATCCTTTCCAGCCTGCGACATACCAAACGCCAAACCCTCCTGCTGCTTCTGTTGTCCCTGCAGCTACCTATCCAACTACATCAAAACCATATGCCGCTCCATCAATGCAACTTGTTCCATCTCCAGCACCAAAACCGGTGCAAAGTTACAACTCTTCTATTTCTCAAACATACACTGGTCCGAACATGGCTACAGATGCTCGGATGAACGGAAATCAGCGGCCAAAAGAAACTCCAGTGGCAGCAGCCAGACCATATTACATGCCGGACAATTTGTTTGGAGACCTGATCGACGTGAAGAGTTTTGGCGCCGGAAGCAAGATCAACAGGTCTACCAGCATGCCGAGTCCAAAGGGTGGTGGCCAGCCTATGATTGGTAGAAACAAATAGGCCTCCCAAATTCAAAATAGGGATGATCATATATTTAGTTAGTTGCTACAGTTGATTGGTTTGATGTAAATTTCCTGTATATTTTAACGTGTCAATTCGCGGATTTGTTACGTTGGTCAATTTCTCAGTTGCTGCATGTTTAACTTTACTAGATATGCCGAGATGGGTAGAGCAGTCATTGCTGTAGATGATCAATGACATTATCGTGATGGCTTGATGATAGAAACCACCACTGCCTGCTTCGTGTTTTCTATTCTCATGTGCTCGGATACTCGCATATATTCATTTAATTCGTGAACATTTTATTTTGTATTGTACGTTAGCTTTTTCTTTCTTGCCAAATCACTGGTACTGTATCTAGATTGTAAAGCCGCATCTCTGCATCTATTGAACAGTGATAAGGGTTTGTCTACGGAGAGCAGAATTGCAGAAATATGTGGAGCATCTGAAAAGAAGTTGATATGGGTCACAAACAAACAGTTGCTATTCAGACGACTAGCTAGATCAGGATTAACAGATTGGATGAAGCTAGAGTTTACAAGAATCCTATTGCTCCATGGGTCTGCGAGACAGATTACAAGACAACGAGGTGGTGTCTCACAAGTAGTCTCTTATTTATGGGCAACCATGCCAACGGATCAACGGATTAAGAGACAACGAGGTGCTGTCTCACAAATCGCAACATTATTTATGGGTAAAAATCCCATGCCAACGGACCAGAGTATGCACATCATCTTCGCCCTGCCTGCCTCACAGCTTCGAGAGCGCAATGTCCATCACGTCAATGAAGAAGTCTGCAACACGAGGCAGTTCGTCATTTCCCCGGAAAAATCACGTGTCACTGGTTAAGATCAACGAGGAATGCTTCAGCAGATAGCAGGTCTTACCGGAGTCCTCTTTGGTGAAGCACAACGGTGGTGTTATCCTAAAAACGTTCCCGTAGAAACCACCCTTCCCAACCAACACTCCCATATCTGTTGAAGAAGAGAGCACTTAGATCACACAGAGAGTTCTGCATCTAGCTTCGACCCTGGAAGAGGTTGTCAAAGCACAACACACTTACCTTTCATATGGTTCATGGCATGTGAGATTTCAGCTTTGGCTGGGGTTTTCTTTTCACAGTCTGTCACCAGCTCAACTCCAAGAAGGAAGCCTTTGCCCCTAACATCACCAATGACTGCAGAACAGACAGGTAAAATGTAAGTGGCAAGTGATAATGACATGATTTATTTGTTTCTTTTTTCATTTGCCTGCTTACTTTCATGCTTCTCTTTCAGCTTGTTAAGCTGTTCCTTTAGATAGGACCCCACAACAAACGCATTCTCCTGGAGCTTCTCCTTCTCCAGCACTTTGAGCACTGCATGCCCGCCCGCAGTGCTGACAGGGTTACCACCGAAGGTATTGAAGTAACTTCTGCGGGTCAACACCTGAGCAATCTCTGGCGTTGTCACGACAGCGCCTATGGGTATGCCATTCCCAATACCCTGAAATTCAACAAGAACATGTGAGCAACCGACATGATGCACCAGATGTGCATTTTGATGATTTTAATGATGGGATGTCATGGGAATGCAAGAGCCTGCACATCATGGAGAGTTTTCAAGCTTTACCTTGGCCATAGTGACTATGTCTGGGATGACACCATGCCCTTCGAATCCCCAGAAGTGGCTTCCAGTTCGCGCAACTCCTGCCTGAACTTCGTCAGCGATGCAGAGTCCACCGGCTTTCCTTACCATATCGTATGCCACGGGCAAGTATCCTGGTGCCAATTCCACTATTCCACCAACCCCCTTCAGAAAAGAACATGTCGTGTTCAGGAGAGAAAATTGCTTTTCATTTAATAGTGATGAAGATGCTCAGCCTATGCTTTGATATTGGAATACCTGTATGGCTTCCGAAATGAAACCACCAACTCTCCCTGTAGTCCCAAATTCAATGATTTCCTGAACATCTCTGGCATATTTCTCCCCGTCAGAACCAAAAGCACCTCTGTAGGGGTCTGGATTAAGCGCATGGTGTACTCCGGTCTGGATACATTACGGGTTACCAATCATCATGGTGTTTTGTCACAAAACAAAGTACTAAATGGATATTTTATTTTATTTTATTATTTGAACGCAAATGGCAGGAGCTCTGTCGATCAATTAAGGGGGAAGAGTTTTATGTACAGGGATGGGTTTTAAGCCCAACACAACAGCAGTCGCACAAAGCATGCAAAGAACAGGTGACCGATGCAAGTATAGCTATGGAATTTCGTTAGTTTGCATATGATGTTTCTAGGTAAAATTTTGGCACCTTACTACAGTACAAAAACGGAAGGGGCACCTACCTGAACAACATTGAATTTCCAATTGGATTGAGCGGTAGCACCCATTGTTCCAGCAGCATTCCCATGGTATCCATTCCTAAGAGAGATAATGTCATTGCAACCAGTGTAAAGCCGTGCAATCATCAGTGCAAGCTCATTCGCCTCCGTGCCTGAATTTGTGAAGAAAACAACCTGAAAAGAAGACAGCAGTTTCCATGCGGCTCAACCATCCAAAATAATGTCCATTTCTGAAGTAACTTCAGATAAACAAACATTTGAATTTTTTTTTCTTAGATAATACCTTCAGACCACCAGGCATTTTGGAAGCCAATGCCTCTGCAAAATCTGCAATGGCATGATTGAGATATAGAACTGTGGAGTGCTGGATCCTCTTTGCCTGGTTTACTATGGCTTCAACCACATCTGGATGGCAGTGCCCACAACAAACTGTTGCAATGCCACCAAAAGCATCAAGGTAACGACGGCCATCCTCATCAAATAGGTACTGCATCTTTCCATCGACTATGTTCAACTGCAACGAATATCGCATAATAAATGATCATCTGAATGCAATAATGCTGTGGAACTGACAATGACTTTAGCTTCTATTGCTTGATTGGAAAACTAGTGTACTTTATGGCGTTCTTACATCATACATACTACAAGAGGCACTCATATGATCTCACGCACTAAGTAATGACAGGATGACAACATGCAGTGGTTAACTTTGCTGTTTGCTTCTTTCCAGACATGCAAGTGGATCTCAAAGTGCCAACTTCTACCAAATTAGATAAGTATATCTACTATCAAATTATTTGATGTGTAACACACGTGCTTCTCTGAGTACTGCACATGAACTCCAATTATATCTCCTTTAAAATTATTTGATGCGTAGCACACCTGCTCCTCTGAGTACTGCGCATGAACTCCAATGGGACAGGAGTCAGCAAATTAGGTGCACGGTTTGGTTCTGTCTGCAGAAATCCAATCTTGACCTTGTTTATGTACTTTGACAATGCGTGCACAGTTTTAAATGTTTTGTTGTCAGTAACCATGTATCTGACAAATAGAGAAACAAGTGGCGCAGCTACATATATTTGAGATCTAAGAGGCACAAAACATAGTTGTTGTTGAAATTAATCGGAAGACCCTAGATTTTCTCCAAGTTTGCAGGCAAAACTGGGCAGCCTCGTCATTGCAATTTGCAACAACCCAGGAAAAGCTTATCACCAAAGGTCGGCCATCACTTATTCAATTTTCAACCCATCCGGCATGCAAAGATCTACTAGTACACAGAAAAATAAATACTGTCGACAGCTTGGGGTACTGGTACTACAAGTTTCTTTTGTTGATTCACTTAAGAATCCGTTTTGAGTGGTACTGCCTGCAATGCAGAATTTGTGGCTGCTAGCATCTTATGGGGTTCTGAAATGCATCGAGACGGAGCTCGGTTGCATAGTTATATCAGATCTCACTTTACTTCAGATAAGAACAGAGCACATGCAGTATAGCATTCCTATCAAAACCTATCGGAAAACGGCAAAGATCACTGCTCTGTGCCAAAAGACTACCAAGAACACGGCATTTCCCGAAAGAACAAAGTAAAAAATGTTTTGGTTCCGAATAATGCTGGGGGAATTCCTTGTGAGCCATTAAAAAAGATCGCAATCCCCTGTGAGCTACCTGAAAAGTTCAACGGTCTTCAGCGCCACTGCTCCAACTTTTTGCCCTCCATGCCACTGCCGTCAGATTGGACTCTAACGGTGTCAAACTGCAGGTGTGAAAAGTCGAAAATACCCTTAAGTCTAAATATGTCATTAATTTTTTTTAAGCATCTTAACGACTTCAAATGAAAAAACTAAAAACTAGAAAGTTGTAGATCTCGTCGAGATCTATAATTTTCATATAAAAATTATCTTCATTTAATTCCGTAAAAAAAGATATGATTTGATATGATTAATATATCTTAGAAAAATCATATCTTTTTTATGGTATTAAAAGAAGATAATTTTTATATAAAAAATATAGATCTCAACGAGATTTACAACTAGTTTTGAGTTTTTCCATTCGAAGCCATTAAGATGCTCATAAAAGATTAATGATATTTAAACTTAAGGGTATTTTCGACTTTTCACCCCTACAGATTGACACAGATAGAGCCCAATCTAACGGCAGGGACATGTAGGGAAAAAAAATTAAAACACTGACACTGAAGACCCCTTAACTTTTCCAATGGCTCACACGAGATTGCGATCTTTTTTAATAGCTCACAGAGAATTCTCTCAATAATGCTAGTGGTTCGATAGATCGTCTTAACCTAACTGATCGCCCGGGCGATCGGTGCAGTTTTTACCGAAAAAAATATTGAAATCCGAAGGTAATTTACAGTTTTTTTTTTCTTTTTGGTCGTAGCAATCTGGTCCTTCCCAGAGAAGTGGAGACTGGAGTGGCGATGGGGGAGCGGCAAACGTACAGGGCGATCGTAGAAGTGGAAGAGGGATGGGCTGAGGAACTGAGCCCGCTTCCGGAAGATCTCCTCGGCGCGCGGCCCGTCGTACGGCGGCGGCGTGTAGTCGAAGGCCGGCATCTTGGGGACGGCGTCGGCGCCATTCTCTGGCGCGGGCGCGGCGACGGCGACGGCGGCGGCGGCGGCCGCGGAGAGGCTGGAGTTGGCCCGGGCGGGGGCGAGCGCCGCCTGGAGGAGCCTCCGGGAGGAGGCGAGGCGCTGCATGTGCGGCGCTGTGGTTTTCTTCCTGCGCGGGTGGTCGGGGGCTGGCCTACCGGAGCGGCGCGGGTGTGGGACGGAGTTGCTGGTTGATGTTGGTGGAGGCCGTGGCAACGCCGCCTATAAATAGAAGATGGCTAGTTGGTGCGATGGGTTCGCAGTGCCAGGTGGGGCATGGGAGGACGACGACGGTCGGTAAATTACCAGTCTGCCCTTCGCTGCTCTCGGCGAGACGGCGACGGCGAAGGCTTGTTTGGTGAGGGAACGAGACGTGCCGGGCAGCGGCAGCGGCAGCGCGGCGGTCACAAACTGACAACAACCTACACATTGTGGTACTACATTTTGAGCACTGTCGAGATCACGGATTTTTTCTTCATTTTCCGTGTGAGATTTGGACCAATTTTTTTTCTATATAATAAGATAGCAATGAAATCACACGATTTTAGCTCACACATTAAGCACCAAAAGAAGGAGAACACGGCACGCAGACGGCATCATGCGCAACGCTTGGTCAGCAACGTACCAAATCGATCGAAACCGGCAAAACGTGAATGCTGCTACCGTGTAACGTCTTTTGGGCGTATAAAAAAATGATTGAGGGCTCTGCCCCCGCGTCGCTCCCACGCGGGCGACACAGGCGGCCCTCCCCCGTCACCTATCCGCCGCCCCCTCCTCACCTCCTTCTCCTACCGCGCCGCCGGCAAGGCCTCTCGGGCAGGCGGGATGGCGACTGCGTGGCCTTTCCCTCCCTCAGCGGCGAGTGCAACAGCAGGGCCGGCGGTCCTTTCCCCCGAGCGAGCTGCGTGGAGTTCGGCGGGGGAGGTCGCGGTGGCTGTGGCTGCGTCGGCCGGTGTCCATGCCGGCGCAAGGGGATGGCGGCGGGGCTCCTTCTCCCTCTCCTCCATTCCTCCCCTCCTCCAGTCTTGAAGATGGCGACGCAGGCAGGGGCGGCCGGTTCGGTAGCCGGACAGCTGGATCCGTGGCTGGGCGGCCAGATCCGGCTGGCCCTGCCGGGTGGCGTGGTGGCCGGCGGCAGCCGATTCGTGCAGGGCCTGAGCCAGCAGCGGCAGGCTGCAGGTGCCGCTGCAGGGCCGACTGGCGGCGGCTAGCCAGCGGTGGGCGGGGGTTCATGCAGGCGTTGGGGGCGGTACTGCTCTACCTACCCCTCCTCTCACAACCTTGGTTGCTGCAGCGGCCGCCCAGGACTGCTACGGCAGTGGCTGCGCCTGTCCAGGAGCTGCCTGAGCTGGCTGTGGCTAGGGCAGCTTCTGCGCAGTCTGTGCGATGGGCTGGCTCAGGTACCTGCGGTTGTGGTCAAGACGGAGGCGGTGGCGTCGGCAGGGGTCGCCGGGTTTGGGGGTTGCGTCCGGATCCGACGGCCCTAGGTCATGGGGCGGCGCCCGAGTTGGTGAGGGCACACGCCATGTGGTTGCTGGCGACGATGTCGGTAGCGACTTCGGCGGGTGCCAGAGTCGACGGCGATGGTCAATGGCGGCCTCGGCGTGCGGCAGTGTGGCGCAAGCGGAAGAGTCAGGTTCGGCTCTATGTGGACCGGTCGAAGGGGGTGGCAGCCGACGCAGTTGAGCGGTTGATGCGTGCAGCCGGCGCGTCGATGCCCCTCTAAAGGGGCTTCTGTGGGGCGGCGGGGCATCGGCAATGGCGATGAAGGCTAGAAGGGGGTCCGGCTTCGCAACCCGACGTTCGTGCTAGAGGATTCTTGGGCGAAAGCCTTGGCGATGGCGACACCATTAGGCGCCAGTCCCCTGTTGAGGGCGTCGTGTCTTCCAAGGGTGAAAAACCGGTCCATGTTGGACGTGCGACGGTGGCGCCATCAACGTCATTCCGTTCCTGAAGGTGTCGCATTTGAATTTTCGTCGCGGCTTCGATGCAATGCTAGGGTTTGCGGTCGGGCTCTTCGGTGTTTGAGCTTGGCAACGATGACCGGCGGCGGCCCTAGCTTCGGACTCGTCAGGGGTGACTAGTGGGTGGCCTGCCATGGGAAGTCGGAGCTGCTGGTAGCTTGGCTTCCACGCTCGGCAACGATAACCCATGGCAGTGCGCCGTGTTTGTGCTCAGCCACGTTGTGTTGGGTGGCTTAATCCTTCGGGTGCCTTTTTTTATCTCGTCTGGCTAATCTTATTGTACATAAATTTTTTTAGTCTTAATTGAGCGGCAGAGCTCCTGACTTTGTTTAAAAAAATGATTGATTGCGATCCTTGTCAAATTTTGTTTAGGAAATGCACGAACGTAGGATTCGATAAAAAAAATCATATGGTTTAAACCGGAGCTTTAACCCACAGTAGAATTCAGAGGCTTTTGATCTCGGAGACGCTACACGATAGCAAGCGTGGTTGATCGTATCCTAGTTCTCCTCGCTGATGGGCTGGTACGCCGTAGCTAGGTGCGTTTCACCATTGACTGCCAACTAGGGTCGCTGTCCCACACGATACCACAGGCCACATGCGTAGTCGCGTGACACTGACATGGGCGAAGCAAGCTGTTCACGGGTCCGCTGGACGAACGGCGCTGCTTCAACCGGCGAGCTAGCTGCGCAGCCTGCGCTGCATGCGACCCCCTGTCGCAACTCGCAAGTGAGGCTCGTTTTGGCCACGACTCCGGATCGTTGTCCTGGTCCACGGCTCCACGACAGGTCGTACAGTATTATGAAGTGCCCGTCACCGTCATCTCCCATGCATGTTTGCTCGGGTTTCAGTGGCAAATTTTACAAAACTTGAGCATGGGCAGCACATTCAGGGCTCGTTTAGATGCCATCCAAATTTCAAGTTTTTTCACTCTCTCTTCATCACATCAATTTTTAGCCGTTTGTATGGAGTATTAAATGTAGGTAAAAAAATAACTAATTACACAGTTTAGTTGGAAATCACGAGATGAATCTTTTAAGCCTAGTTGGTCCACGATTGGACAATATTTACCAAATAAGACAAAAGTGATACCATTCATCAAGTTAAAAAATTTGCAAAGTGAACAAGGCCTCAGTTCGCAGTCAGGAAGCAGCTGATTATCTACCTACCTACATTTTGCTCTCAGTGTGTTCTTCTTTTTCTAAACAAAGAACAATAATAGTATATTGATAAGATGATTGTCGTCCTTTCTAGAATCATCTATTGGTCGCTTATCTTATTGGCTTATATATATCATGCCAATTGAGGTCCCAAATGACACGTAACGTGTGGGACAAACCGACTGGGACGGCCGGGATGGGGTTGATTTGAGCCGTTGCCACCTGTTTGCGGTTGTTGCGGTGTTGCCGCTAAGCGATAGCTTTCATCAGTGCTTCACTTATCACTTTGTAGTGTACTATCTGACACTCTGACATGATGTTCGCCTAGCTTAAACCCTGCAAAACAATTATTGCCAACTTCTTCTTTCTCTCATAATGGTTGGTTTTCACCGTGCAATTCTAGTTTTCTACAACGTCCGGATGTTGACGACATCGTCGGCACACTGAGCTTTTCTGTCTTGCTTTGCATCTCTCTTTACTTTCTTCTCCAGACTCAGTGGCATAGTACAGTTAGCAGGTCAGTGAACCAACGCCTGCTTTTGCGAGATCGATTTCGATAAGGTTGTCTGTGGTTGTGCTCTCAGCTGCTGGTGCTCCTCCAATTCATGTCTTCAGAGCGTGTTTAGTTCTAGGAAGTTGGAATTTAGGGCTATTGTACCACTTTCGTTTTTATTTGGCAATTAGTGTTCAATTATGGACTAATTAGGCTCAAAACGTTCGTCTCGTAATTTTTCATCAAACTGTGCAATTAGTTTTTTCGTCTACATTTAATAATCCATACACGGACCGCAAACATTCGATGTGATAGATACTGTAACACTTTTTGGAAATTTAGGATGGAACTGAACACGCGCTCAATCGATTATCATCTCTGGCTGGGCTCGCTTGCACTGCTGGCCAAGTGGTGCCGAGTCACTCTCCTGATCCAAGACAGCTGACGTTGTGCGTGGCTTGCTTGTCCCGGGAGAAGGAAGGCAGTGACTGACAACCATGCAAGTTGGGCGTCGTGAAACGTAAGTGATGACTCATGAGTCACGAGGTACATTATATTTTGCAACCATGCAAAAATATGGGGTACTTATATAGTATATACACATAGCAGACCATTAGCAGCAAATTTAGGGATTGTTTGGTTTAACTTTTAAGGAATATATAGGCCATCGTCTTCACATATTCCTCTTGTCTTTTTATGAAAGAAATGCTCGATCTATCGCCACATCACCCTTTACAAACTAATACTCCACATCTTGGAATAATAGACACAAATTTTGACAAAGGAAAAACAATTTTTTACAAACTTGACTCACAGTTAGTCAAATTATATATAAGTTAAGGCATAGATTTGTATCAATATATTTGTATTCTAGGTGACTGTAAGATAATATTGACTCTTTAGCAATCGATAACATATTGCCAAAAAAAATCAAAATCTCTATGTGGTTTTCCTTTGTCAAAAATACATTTATCATTATTGGATGGATGAAGTAATTATTACTCCAGGCTGAGAAATGGAGGCATCTCACTGAATTCCATGGTATAAATTGATGATTTACCACCTCACCTAAGATAGTGTGGTTTTTTAAACTAAACACCTCGAATTACTTGTTTGGAACTTAAGCGACCGATCAGCATTCTATTAGTAGAAGCACATGAAAACCGCATAGACCATGCTACTTGATGAAAGCAAAATCAACAGCAGTTTTTTTTTGAAATACGCAAAAATCCATGATAATTACTCCCTTTATTCCAAATTATAATATGTTTTGGCTTTTCTAGGTATATTATTTTTGTTGTATATTTAGATATAGGGTGTGTTTGGTTAGGTGGCTTAGGGGCTATCCAGGCTTCCATAATGCAGCCTCTTGGTGTTTGAATGCATGTGTAGCTGCTAAGCCAGGCTTTGGAAAGCCAAAAGAGGGGTTCGGGGCTGGCTTGCAGGGAACGCCCAGATCGATCGTTTCCAGGAAGCCAGGCTTGGCAAGGA